AGCAGAGTAGGTGCCCTATCCCTGTCCCCCATCTTCCCCTCCATTCCCCTTTGCAGTTTGGCTTAGAGAATTAGGGTGTCCTTCACGGGCAGCTCTTGGGGAAGAGATGGGGAGGAGGGGCGAAGAGAGGGCAACTTAAAGACAGGGCTTGTGGGCTGCACCTGATCTGGCCCTCTTTCTCAGTTTCTTTAGCATGGCCTTGGGTCCCCCCACACTCTGAGATAGGTACTACCAGGTAGTATGACCTTTTGTGTCTTTGGTGGAAGATGAGATTTAGGGTTCCTCCCATGTTTGGAGAGAGACTCCCAACAACCTTGCTCTTGGAACCACCAGTCCGACTGAATCAGTGGAGTTTGGCTCCTCTTCTCTACTTCTGGTGGGAGTAGGGTTCTGCAGGGCCCCTGGGCTGCCCATGAAGGGGCTGGGAAGCCCATGTCCGTCCTTCCCCCCAGCAAACTCCCCAGCTCCCTCAGATCTGTCACCCAAGAGCTTCCCTAGGGTGAAGCCTGACTGTAGGACTGAGGACCCCAGAAGACTCCTGGGCTCAGTGTGGCCTCTGAGCCTCTGCTGTAGAACAGGGTCCTGCCCTCCAAGGACTCTCCCCATGCCCGGCAGCCCCTTTCCCTGCCCCCACCTCAGGCCTGCAGTCACCAGCTTCTGCTGTCCACGTCCCAGCAGACGCCTGTGCAGGCCACAGGCTCACTTTTGTCAACTCATTCTCTCATGTGGGCCCGTGCCAGGAGCTTCTGGCCCTTATTCTGCCTGCAGCTGGGAAGGGCCCCTCTCCCCAGAGGCCCCCCCCCCATCCTGGGAAAGAGTGACGTGGCTGCAGCAGCCTGTTTGTCAAAAATGGACTGTGGTGAAGGGCAGGCTTTGAGGAGACAGCTGCTCATGTTCATTCATTGCTTCAGTAGATGCTTGTTGAGACCCTGCCTGTGTCAGGCCCAGGGTGGGGGACTTGTGCTGAGAGATGCAACTCTTGCCCTTTAAGGGAAGAAAAAGATAGAAATCTCTTGGAGTTTCTGATTCAATAGGCCTGGGTTAGGGCATGAGAATTTCTAGCAAGTTCCCCAGTGATACTGATGCTACTTCAGGGTGCATACTTTGAGAGCCACTGTGATTCAGGACCAAGTACAGGAATTATGTGTGGTTTATGTTTGTTATATTTTCAAAACTGTCTCTCTGATTGTGTTTTCCTTTTATAAATAGAAAATTCAGTTACTGGGCTGGAGATGTAGTTCCATGGTAGAGCACTTGCCTAGCATGTATAAGGCCCTGAGTTCATTCCCCAGCACAACACACAAAAAAGAAAAGAAAGGAAAAGTCAGTTACTGAAATAGGCATTTCCTCAAAATGACTCCAGTACTCTGGGTGTGGTCCTATGTGGAGAGAGGTCACCTTCCGATGGGGCCGTAATTTGGATGTTGGGTAGCATAGAACAGTCCCGTTGGGTGATACAAGCTGCCTGATGGGACAGTTGTGTAGGTATCACCGGTGGTTCAAACCAGTGGGAATTGTTAATATAGCCCAGCATCATGACCTTGTGTTTCTTGCATTTCCCTTGGACTCATTCTGAGCTTGAGGCCCACTCAGATGACCACATCTTCTGCAGGAGCCTGCCCTGTCAGTATGACCAGAGGAGGAATAAGTGAGGTGGTAGTAAGTAGCACGGCTGGGATTTGAATGCAGGCCCATGTGGCCTCAGTTGGCTTGGATTTAGCCATCTGCTTGTACTTCCTGGGTGCTGCTTCCGTCATGCTGCCTTACTCCAGCAGCTAAACTGCTCCCTGTTCTCCTCACTTCCTCATTTCTCCAGCTGATGTGGGTTGACTGTGCCACTTCCTTTTCCACTTCTGGTCTTTCTACTTGGCGTGGGGTGGGGTGGGAAGTCTGTGTGTATTTGGAGATAGTGGGGGGTCCTAGTGCAGTGACTCTTCCACTGCTGCTGATAGGCAGAATCATCCACCTTGGGGGTGCTGCTGAGTGCACCCCCAGGAGAGGGGCAGTGGTGGCAAGTGGGGACTAAGCACTCTGTTGACAATGGAGTGAGACAGCATCTGCTTTGAAAGAAGCAGTTGTTTGTCACCTCTGTCTTCCTCTCCTGGGTGCAGATCTGAGAAACAGTCCCAGGAGCCAAGCAAATGAGTGTGCAGAGCTCAGTTAGCTTTCACACTGCCAAGAAGTGGCCTACAGGCCACCACTGGGCCCTGTCCCTGATTACACCCCAGGCCTTTCCCCTTCCCAAGGACACCTCCAAGCTGACTCCCTGGAACCATACTTGCCCTTACCCCAAGGACAAGTGTGAAGGTAGGTCCCCATGCTTGTCCTCCCCAACATCTAGGACACTAAGACAGAGGGAAAGGCAAGAGATAAGGGGACAGCCAGGAGTGGAGGGACATCCCTTCCTCAGGAAAGTATGAGGAACAAGGAATCTGAGGCCTATGTTTTATTTTATGTTTGAAACAGGGTCTCGCTTTGTGGTCTAGGCTGGCCTTGAACTTGCTATCCTCCTGCCTCAGCCTCCAGAGTGCTGGGATTACAAGCATGAGCCATCACATCTTGTACCTGTTTTCTTTGGAGAAGGGCACTCCACTGGTTGAGATCTCTAGCTCTCCAGATCTGGCCCCTCTCCAGAGTGGTCTCTCTGCTTTGGGACCCCTAACCCTGAGTCCTAGTTCCATCAATGCCAGCCTTAGGTGCTTTCTCTGGCAAGTCTTCATCCCTTAAGACTCAGTTTTTGTTTTCAATGTACAGTCTTATTTAAGCCAGTCAGCCACACTAGGCTGACTCAGTTTTCACCTGTTATGAGATAATAACTGTGCATCTCTTCTCCTCTCTTACATGGAGTGCCTGATGATCATTTCACCTTGGTTCTTCTCTCTTTTTATCTTTTACCTAACATGCATTCATTTGTTCAGTTAATTCTGGTTGGGAGCTTGGAGGCTGCTAAGCTGTGTGCAGGGTGTGGGGGACTGGGCACGTGTAGCAGCCTTCCAATATCTCGTAGTCCCTGGGAGACAAACTTAAAGAATTTCAGGTGTGTGAATCACTCACTACAAAGGAGAAGTAAGAGATAGCTGGGAGCTGGTGGCAGAGGAAGTGAGGTCACCCCCCCACACACACACACTGAAAACCCAAACCCAGACTACTCAGCCCTTCAGGCCCCTGTGTGGTGACTCCCATTTGGTTTACTCATATTACCCCCTAGCTGCCTTGGCATCCTTACTGTATCTTGAAACATTGAGTTCTTTCCTGCCTTTGAGCCTTTACACACTTTGTTCTCTTTGCCTACAGTGGTCTCTTCCTGGGTCTCTCTGCATAGCTATTTCCTAACATAGTACCTCCCCCAGCACTCTATCATATTACCCATACTGCTTTGTCTTTTATTTTATTTTTGCCTCCATAGCTCTTAACAGTACCTGGATTGTTATTTTTATTTTTTAATTTATTATGTGTTTTCCCAATGAGTCTTGGGGCAGAAGACTTAAAAGGGCTGGTTACCAACTGTTCCTTCCTGCCCCTGTGTTTACCACAGGACCTAGGTCACCACTCATAAATATTTGAGGAGTGTGCATTTGTTTCCTGCTGCTGTTATAACAAATTACCACAAATTTAGTGGCTGTGTCATTCATCACTGTGACAATACCTGAGATAATGAAAATAAGAGGAAGAAAGATTTACTTTAGCTCACAGTTTCAGTCCATAGTTGCTTGGATCCATCACTTTGAGCCTGTGGCAAAGCGGAGCATCATGGCAGAGGAGGCTGCTCACCTCATGATGGTTAGGAAGGAAAGAGAGAAGGAGGGAAAGGCCAAGGTTCTGATACCCCTTCGAGGACACACCACCCTATGACCTAACTTCCTTCCACTGGGCCCCGCCTCCTAAAGGTTCTACAACTTCCGGTAGTACTATAGGCTGGTGACCAAGTCTTTAGTTCATGGCCATAGGGCAACGTTTCAGATCCAAACCATTAATTAACAGTGGCCTCCCTTCAGATTACCTTCCAATTCTGAAAGTTAGAAGTCTGAGAATCAAGGGGCTGGCAGGGCTACATTCCTTATGAAGGCTCTGAGGGAATATCCTTTCCCTGGCCTTTCCAGCTTCTGGAGGCAGCCTGTAGTCCTTAGCTCATGGCCTTTCTCCATTTGCAAAGCATATCACTCCAACCTCTGCTTCCACCCTCATGTGGCCTTCTCTCACTTGCCTCCCTCTTAGAAGGGTCCTTGCGATTACATTGGGCTCACCCACATAATCCAACATGAAAACTAGTGTGTGTATAAATTTTTAAAAATTTATTACAATAAAGAACATGTTACCATTAACTCCCCTCAAAATATTTGCCCTTACTTCAAACACACTTATCCCATTGTTCTTGCTACTTTCTGAAGCATTTCTGGAAGTTCTCTTTTGTGAGTGTCTTTAGTTGTGCAGTCATGGCTGCCTTGATGTTCTGAATCAATTCAAAACATTTACTTTTCATGGTCGTTTGACTTTGAGGAAGAGCTGGAGGTTGCATGGCACTAGATCCAACGAATAAAGTAGATGAGGACACAACAGGCTTTCTTTTCCATTGGGATGGCACTCAGCAGTAGCATTTTGCTATATTTTTTATCATAACTCATAAAGACATTCATAAAAGAAGACTTCCATAACTATTACAGAAATTGGCAAGAGTGATGGTTTAAGTGTGAAGTGGGGGGATTAATGGCAATGTGTCTTTTAAAAATTTTTTTTAAAAAATGTAAACACCCTAAATCAGCCCATGTAATCTCCTTCTAGCAAAGTCCTTAACTCAGTCATATCTGCGAATCCCCTTTTGCATTGTAAGGTAACATAGTCACAGTTCTGGAAGTTTGGGTGTGGATATCTTTGGTAATCTGTTATTCAGCCTTCCACACTCAGGCCCCTTTGTGCTGGTTCAGAGCTGGGTGTGGCAGGCACTGATGCACCCTGGCCTGTACCATGGGACCCAGCAATTTGACTGCTCCTTTTTCCCACAGGATGAGATTGAGGAGCTTCGGGCTGAGATGCTAGAGATGCGGGATGTCTACATGGAGGAGGATGTATACCAGTTGCAGGAGCTGCGGCAGCAGCTGGACCAGGCCAGCAAGACCTGCCGAATTCTGCAGTACCGGCTGCGCAAAGCTGAGCGCCGCAGCCTCCGCGCTGCCCAGACTGGGCAGGTGGATGGCGAGCTCATCCGAGGTCTGGAGCAGGATGTCAAGGTGAGCCCCTGGGACTCTCTCAACCTTCACAGGTGCTCTTGTTGGGGCTGGCCCGTGAGCCTTACTGGGGTTCAGGTCAGGCCTGTGGCTTGCTCCTGTGTGGAGGGCCTCAGTTTCCCCATCTGCAAAATGGGGATCCTTGATGAACCAACAGGCCTTTTGCCAGCAGCACTTGAAAGTAATAACATAATGTGAATTCTGTTAATAACAGCTACTGTTTATTGGTTATCAGCCATGTACCTGGTGTTGAGCTCCATCTGTCCTAATGCAATTCTGTGGCAGTTTCTTACCATGCTAATGAGAGTACTGAAGGCCTGAAGTTGGGTCCAATTGGTTCAAGTCTTAGCTCTGATGTGATTTGTGATTTTGAGCATGTTACCTATGTTTCAGTTTCCTTTTCTGTAAAATGGGTATAAGGACAGCTCCTACCTCACAGGGTTCTATGAAAATTAAGTGAGATATAGATGAAATGCCACCATAAGCACTAAAAAACATTAACTATTATTGTTATGTCCATTTTCTGAACAAGCTTCAGATATAGGAAGTACCTGTCCAAGGTTACAGTCAGTCCATGTGTAGGTGGCAGAGCTCAGGCCCACCAGTCTCCCAAGCTTCAGTGTCTGGCCCACTGCTCTCACTTCAGGAAGCAGGGCAGGGCCTGAGGGAGTAGCAAGTGGGGCCTATAGGAGAGAAGCCCACCCTGCTTGTCTGTGTAAGCCCTGGTCTGGGCGCTGAGAACTCCTTGGGAACCCCAGACCACCCTCCTCCTTTCACATTTGAGCCCAGTGAGGGCTGTAGGAGCTGGGGCTAGGGGCACCTGTCACAGCCTGGGGGTACTAGGGAATCTTCTTGCAAGGCTGACTTCTAAGCTGAGGCCTGAAGGAGAAGTGGGCCTGTGCCGGGGAAGATGGGGAGAGTGTTCCAGGGAGATGGTCTTTGTCAGGGTTAGGGGAGCGGGTAGGATAGGGAATCAGCACACTCATATCCAGAGCAAACCCCCACACGCACGTCCTATGCTACAATGCACTGGCTAATTCAAGGCCCAGAAGTGGACTAAAGTAAGGACCATGAGAGCTGATTTCAGAGGGGACAGAGCCAAGGGAAGCTGCAGTAAGGGCCCACACCATACAGGCTGTTGCACCCTCCGTTGTCTTGACTGGGCTGTGGGGTCATGCGGGAGGAAACTGATCTCAGAAAGGGCAAGTGTCCAAGTCCAAACAGCACTTCTGTTTGAGAGGGCAGGGCAGCTCCTGGGATAACTGGCCACACAAAGCTCACATTCCAAGCACTGCTGGCTGTGGAAAATCACTTGATCCCAGGGGTTCAAGGCCAGCCTAGGCAACAGAGATGCTGTCTCAAAAAAAAAAAAAAAAAAGTCCAAGCACTAGGTTGGGAGGGGCAGGTAGAGTGGGGTGGTAGAGGAGAGTATGTATTGGTGGGGCTATGATTGAGCTGGAGAAGCTCAAAGTGTGTAAATTTCCGTTTGGGGCTGGGTCACTGAGGAGTTCTAGGAGCGACACAAAAAATCAGAGTGAAGACAGATGGAGAAGAGAGGTGGAGAAGCCTGCCTTGGGGCAGGGCAAGAGCACCTGGTGTGTGTGTGGGGGGGTGTTTGGGTTCTTCTGTTGGGATTTGAACTAGCCAATCCGCATCAGCCTTGCCCTCTCCCCTCCTTCCTCTGCCCACCCTGCAGCTGCAGCGCTGAGCTCATCCTCTGGCCTCCGCCTAAACTGGCCACCTCTGGCCACCTCGGGGTGTTCCGGGGCCTTTTTGGAAGTCCTCAGAATGCTGACTTCCCTGGCATGGCTTGGGAGAGCCAAATGGCCCTGGTGGGGAGGCCTTTAGGGGAGACCCCAGGGCATATTAATAACATGTTCCCTTCTTAAGATACCAGTGTTGCTAGGTAAAATGTTCCAGCTTTGGGTTTTATTCCTGGGCGACCTGTGCAGGCTGCCCGCCTCTTCTTTGAGCCTCATTGTTTCCTCATCTGTAAAATGAAGGTGACACTCCCACCCTCCTGGGGTTCTTGGGAGAATTCAGTGATACACAGCCCAGAATTCTTCCTGGTCAAAGATGCTCCATAACAAGAGTTCCCTTCCCTCTCCCTGAGGATCAGAGTGGCAGCACATCTTGAACCCTGAGGTCTAGGAGTCAGTGTGCTGGGGAGCTGGGGACCAGAGGCTGTTGATAGTGTTTGGCAGGAGCTGGGCTGGGCACTGTAAACAGTGACCTCATGGCTGAGCGCATTTGTTTGTGCTTTGGGGATTTGCCCTGGTTTCTGGAAGCCGAAGCTGCTTTGCCTCCCTTGGTAACTGAGCCCGGCTACTTTTCGGGTAGCTGAGAGGATCAAATGAGATAAACGTGTGGGGCCCTTCAAGCACCTGACATAGTAAGCCCACTATTGGGGCTTATTAGAATTTTTATAATAGTGTGATATGTCTTCAAGCTTTGTTCCTGTAACAGGGTCAGGTTGAGAGCAAGACTTTAGAGATGATCCATCTGATTTTAAATGTTGGTTTGGTAGCTTCCTAACTGTGACCTTGGGCAAATGACCTTTCCTTTCTGAGCCTCAGAATGGGGGTAAAAATCAAAGTGCTTGGGGTGGTGGGGGAGGATGAAGAGAACATGGCAAGCACCTGGGGAACTGCTAGCCAATTCTGAAAATCACCTGTGAAGGTTCAGGATCCAGGACCACTGAGGATTGGGGGGATGAAGGGACAAGCTCAGGCTACTGCCTCCTGCCCCCCAGGTTGGCAGCAGCAGTGCTCTTTATTCCCTTTGGCCTTCATGGAGGGCACAGAGCAATGTAGGGCTCTGTACCATGGGCTCTTTTGTCCACGTTGGAATTCTGCAAGCTTCCTGGGCAGCCTTTCTTGACTAAATAGCTCTGGGGTTGTCGAGCACATGGGGACACAATTCTATGACAAGGGGCACAAAGGAAGAAGATCCAGGAATTTACTTGGATCATTATTTCCTGGTGGGGACCTGGTAGCCTCTCCAGGTGGAAACAGTGGTGGAGGTGGGGCAGCCCCCCGGGTAGGGAGGAGCCAGCCCTGGTGGGAACAAATTTGGGAGAGGACAGTCGGAGGGCAGGTTAAGTCACTCACTCCTTCCTTTCTCTAACTTTTCATTTGTTGGAGCCTGGGATTTGTTTTGTTAATCCAGCAAGCATTTATTAGAACACAGAGATATGAATGGGCATCTCCATGCATAGTTTGTAGTCTTGATCCCTATTCCATACCATTCCTGCCTCTGGTGGCAAAGATGAATGAATGAGTGAAATGTGATCAGGACAGAGGCTTCCTGGGTGACCTAATAGCCCTGAGCTGGGGGAGACAGCCACAAGCCTAGGGCTGAACGTGCCCAGCAAAAGTCATAGGGTTGGGTTAAGATGGATAAAATGAATACACACAGCCAAACCAGTAATTTTTTATTATTTTATTTTATTTTTTGGTACTGGGGATCGAACTTGGGACCTTGCGCTTGTGATAAACCGGTAATTTTTTGTGCTCGCTTCGGCAGCACATATACTAAACCAGTAATTTTTAAAAGATGAGGTCTCACTGTAATGCCCAAACCTGGCCTTGAGCTCATGAGTCTCCTGCCTCATCCTCTTGAGTAGTTGGGATTATAGGCATCCGCCACTGCACCCAGCCAAAACAGTGATCTTAACAGTGCATTAAAAATCTTTGTCTTGGACCTGGGAGCACAAGGACCCGAGTTCGATCCCTGGTACCAAAAAAAAAAAAAAAAAAAAAAAAAATCTTCGTCTTGGGCCTGGGATTTAGCTCAGTGGCCCCATGCTTGCCTCATAAGCACAAGGTCCTCACTTCAATACCCAGTACCAGAAAAAAAAAATTCTTCTAAAAAAATCTTTGTCTTGATGCCACCTTGAACTTGTGGCCTTTCAGCAACTGGGCATAGTTCTTAAGTATTTCACGCAATCAAAATGGATCAGCTAAGTTCATGAACCTGAAATAAACTTAACTTTTGTAGTTCATTGAATAGCATTAATTGTTAAAAAAAACAAACCCTTTTTTGGGTATTTTTTGAGTGCATTCTATGTTCCAGCCACTCACCCAAGCATTATCCTCACAGCAGCTCTCATGAGTATACTCTATCAGCCTCCTTTTGCCACTGACCAAACTCAGATTTCAGATATTAAATATTTGTCCTGGGTCACACAGCCATTCATTACTGCATCCAGGCTTGAATCTAGTTTTCCCCTTGCAAAGTCCTATTCTGACATTGAGGGATTGCTTACTCCACTTATGGATGAGGAAGGTTTGTTAACCCAGAGAGGGTGTGGAGAAACTCGTGGGCCAGAAGCCCAAGGAGATCTTCAGGGCCTGAGGGGACAGTGGGCAGTGGAGGAGGGGCAGTGCCCAGTTTCCTTTCTGGTTGTTGTTTTTCCTGGCCTGCCTCACACACTGCCAGGGGGTCTGTGCTGTGCTGGCTTTGGGCCCAGGCAGAGGGCAGAGCTTCGGAGGGCCCTCTTCCCTCCCGGCAGGGAGGAGGTACCATGGTCATTTCCGATACTGGCAGGCATGGGGTGCTGGGCTGTCTGCCCAACACACGAGACTTGTTGGTGAAGCCTTCGTGGCCCTGAAGGAGCCCCAGCTATGCTGACTCCTCAGCCAAACTCCTAAGCTCTCAGCCCCCACTTACTGTGTATGACCCTGACCAAGTCACTTCTGAGCCTCAGTTTCCCTGTCAGTAAAATGGGGACAGGACTGGGGTGGAGGTGAATGAGTCAGGCACCCAGTAGGGATCCAACCAATGGCAGAGTCCAGGCTGCCTAGTGATAAAGACTGGTTGCAGTTTTCCAATTCAAAAGAGCCTTTCTTGTCCCCCTGGACTCCCTCCCTGGTCTACCATACCCAGCCAGCAGGGGACAGGAAAGAGGGAGTCTTCCTGAAATTGGGGTGCTTTTGCTGCAGAGGCCTGGAGCTAGGACTGGGACTACAGCTCTGTTAGCTCCCTCAGTAGGAATGACTTGGACACCTGCCCAGCTTTTGTCATTTCAGGAATGTTCTACATCCCAGACAGTTGGAAACAGGCCTCAGGGTCACTGTGACCTCCGGCAAGTCATGCCCCTCTCTGGACATCAGCTTTTCAGAGCAGCAGCCTCTGCTCACCCAGCACTCACTATGGCAGGCACCAAGCCAAGGCTTCATATGCACAAGCTGATTTGATCCTCATGTTGGCCCTGTTATGCTGCACCCATTCTATAGCTGAGGAGACTGAGGCCCATGGCTGGGTAATGACTTGCCCAGGATCACCTGCCATCTGTTTTGCTCTGTCTGAGCTTTTTCCAGTTCATATCCTTCCTGAAGATGAGCTCTGGGCCCACAATAGACCTTTGTGAGGATTGGGCCAGAGGTGGCTGAGTGAGGTTCTGGGAAGCATTAAAAGCCCCAGGCAAATGAACAGGTATTCCTAAGAACAGACAGGACCATTATAGCTTTTGGAGGCAGCATGCTGGGAGCATGCAGTGCCTAGGTTTGGGTTTTAGGTCTGCTGTCTCCTGAATGCATGACCCTTAGTGAGTTTTGGGACCCCTGTGTGCCTCAGTTTCCTCATCTGCTAACTGTGGATGGTGAGATAGCAACCTGCCTGCTTCCAGTTGTTCTGCAGGGACAGTCAGTGGGACTTGCTGTGTGGGGCTGTTGTTTGAGCTGGCTCCCCCCAGCCTGTTCATACCGTCCTCGACTCCACCCTGGTCCAGGTATCCAAGGACATCTCCATGCGGCTGCACAAGGAGCTCGAGGTGGTGGAGAAGAAGCGGGCACGGCTGGAGGAGGAGAACGAGGAGCTTCGGCAGCGGCTCATTGAGACCGAGCTGGCCAAGCAGGTGCTACAGACGGAGCTAGAACGGCCAAGAGAGGTGAGGGCATGTCTACCTGCTGACGGTTCATCCCTTCCTTCCTCCAGCACACATTTCCTGAGCACCCACTGTGTACATTGTGCTGGACACTTAAGGATCCAGCAGTGAATGAGATGCACCTAGTCCTGTCCTCCAGGAGCTCACAGGTAAATGAGAGAGAACTTCAACCATCAAAGAACTGCAACCTCTGGAAGGATTTGCTGAGAACACATGCAACAGTGGCCAGCATAGGGCTCTTCCCTCTGTGCCTCAGTTACCTAACCTGTGAAATAAGGCAGTAGTGCCCCTGTCATTGTGAGGGCCATCTGGGATACAAAGGAGAAGCCCTAGGAACTGCCAGGGACTGCCACTGGGTGTGAGACGAGTGCTGGGCCTGGGTCTCCAGCATGTTTCTGGGTACCAGATTCTTCCTGAATGTGCCCTGGGCACCATCCTTGCTCACACCAGATCCTGCTCCTAGGATACCCTCTCCTCCTGCTGTGTGTTAGGCACCACACTGGTGAGTTCATGTCCAGCAGCTCCTGAGAGAGGAGGCCTGTCCTGAAGTCTGGAGTGCCCCTTAAAGGCTGGAATCCTCCCAAGTCCAGGGTCTGAATTCCAGACAGCTGGTTGGCCTCTGGCCCCAGAGGCACAGCTAGGCTTTGGCTGGTTGGCTGCTTAGGAGCTATCCTAGGCTTGTACATTCTTCTGGGGCACACTCAGCATGGTAGGTTTGCCCAGAGGGCAGGTATGAGAGCAGCACAAGACAGAGATGCCACAGCTCAGAACAGAACAGGCCCTCAGCTGCCCTTCCCACTGGGTGTGTTGGTGTGAAGTGCCAACGCCTGCCTTGTCAGTGTGGAGAGAGAAGGCATCTGCTGCCAGGGCTGCCCTCTTTCAACTGTCTTGTTGAGGAGACAGTTCTATTTTTATTTTATTTTTTTGACTTAATTTTTTTTATTAGTACATATTTGTCATGCATATTGATCACATTCATCATAGGGAATTTGTACCTGTACATGATATATCTTGATTCTTCTATTTTTTCCCCATTTCTCTCCCCTCACTTCAACCCTTCTTCCTGGGTGACAGTTTCAGAAAATATCTTGTGGTTCAGCCTGTTCCTCTTGTGGGGAAGCTGAGGCCCAGAGAGGAGCAGCTTGCTGAGTTTACTCAGCCTTTTCTTAGTGGAGATGTGGCTGCATCCTGAAACTGCTTCCCCTCTTTAAGTCTTTCTTCCTGTGTGATGTCAGGATAATAACAGTACCCAACTTACAAGGTTGTTTGGATCTTTAAATAAGATTGAGTAATCAGGGAGGCTGGGGGTATAGCCCAGTGGTACAGAGATTGCTTATGAAGCTTTCAGGTTGGGTTTTGTTTTGTTTTGCTTTGTTTTGTTTTTGCCAGTACCTTGATGTCAATTGCTAGCTGCCAACTTCAGGGCTCATGTGATCCTCCTGCCTTAGCCTTCTGACTATCACCCCAACAAGAGCATGTACTTGGTCCCTAGGTTTAATTTCCTGCACAAAAAAACAATTTTTTTTGAGTAATAGACCACTATGAAGATGTTAAAAAGAATAAGGTAGTATGGCACTGTATCAAAAAATTAAACAGAATTAACCATAAAATTAAAACATAAAGTTCTACTTCTGGCTATACCCCAAATTGAAAGCAGAGACTTGAAAAGATGGTTGTATCCCATATCCATAGTAGCATTATTCACAGTACCAAAAAATAGAGCAACCCAAATGTCCATCAGCAGATGAATGGATAAACAAAGGGTGGTATTTACAGACAGAAATAAAATAGAGGTTTCGAGGGCTGTGAGGGGAGGAGGGAGTGAAGAATTGTTATTTAATAAGTACATACTTTTTTTCAGTTTGGGATAATGAAGTTTTTGGAGACAGATAGTGGTGTGGTTGCAAATTGTGATTATGCTTATGGCCACTAAGCTCCACACTTCAAAATGGTTAAGTCTGAGGTGAAGCTCAGTAGCAGAGTGTATACTTAGCATATGCAAGACCCTGGGTTCAATCCCCAGCACTAAAAAAAAAAAAAAAAAAAGGATTAAAAATGGTAAATTTGATGTATGCATATCTTACTAAAAAGAAAAATGGCTACAATGATAAATTTTATGTTGTACTATATATTCTTTACCACATTAAAAAAGAAAATATTTATATACTATAGAAAGATACCCAAGGTACATTATTAAGAGGAAAAGGAACTTATAGAACTGTATGTATTGTGTTACTACCATACTGGTTATTCTGAAAAGCCATACACAGCTGAATGAGTTTGAAGCATGCATGTCTATGTATGAATGCATAGCAGAAGTCTGGAGGAAAACCTACTGGTCTGAGGAATTATGGAGTACAAAAGAGAATGACTTCTGCTTTCTTTCTTTCTTTTTTTTTTTTTTTGAGACAAGCTCTCGCTATGTAGTTCAGCAGGCCTCTAACTCATGAGGATCTTCCTGCCTCAGCCTCCTGAGTGCTGGTATTACAGGCATGCGCCATCACACCTGGCACCTTTTACTTTTTATTCCATTAATTCTATTTTTGACTTTTTGTGGTTCTAGGAATTGAATTGGAGGTGCTCAGTCACTGAGCTGTACCCCCAGCCCAAGTTAGGAGTTTTTTAATAAAAGAGTATCCTTAGGGCAGGTATGGTGTATCTCTAATCCCAGCTACTGGAGAGGCTGAGACAGGAGGATTGCTTAAGCCCAGGAACTCAAAGCCAGCCTGGGCAATATAGTGAAACCTCATTTCGAAAACAGAAAAGCTGATCATGGTGGTGCATGCCTATAATCCCAGCATTCTGGGAGGCTGAGGCAGGAGGATTGAAAGTTCAAGCTCAGGATGGGCAATTTAGTGACTTAGTGAGACCTTGTCTCAAAATAAAAGAGGGTAGGGAGAGGATGTAGCTCAGTGTGAAGGCCTTGGGTTCAATCCCCAGTACTGAAAAGGAAGGAAGGGAAGGAGGAAGGAAGGAAGAGAATGTACTTGGCACTGGAATTTAAAATTTTAACTGTAAAGAGCCCTGTGTGGAGCCTGGCACCAAGTAGGTGCCAAAGAAACCCCCCGTCTGATGTCAGGGAGGCTAGTCTAACCCTTCTGATGTACCTGTGGCGTCTTGGAATTGTGTGTGGGAGACTAGAGCCTGTGTTTATTTGCTGTTTGTCCTCTGCTCCTCCCTCTCCTTCCTGACATGGTTTCTATGGAGACAAGGGTCCTTCAGCGGTTCTGTGAGCTGCAGTCTCATCATTGAGATCTGTCTTTGCTATCCCGACAGGTTGCTGAGGTGATGCTGTAACCCAACGGGGAACGGAGCCCTGGCCTGAGCTGATGTGGTTGCCATGGAGATAGCTCTTGGCAAGAGAGAAGGGAGGCGACATGCCCTCACTGAGTTCTGCGGTGGCACTGTGGCCCAGCTGGGCTGCTGCTCAAGAATCATAACACCAGCCTTTCCTATCTGGTCTCGTTCCCCATCCTCATGTTTTAGGCAGAAAGCCAGTGTCCACGTTGATGTGATTTGCTGTAACACAGCTGCTGTGCCTGAGCCTTAACCTGTACCAGGGACCGCTCCCAGCCTTGTGCATGTGTCCCCTCTCGGTTTAACCCTTCACAGCTTCCCCCCTACACGAGGCTGTTGTCTCCATTGTGTAGGTTCTACTTTTTTACTTGGCTTTTTTTTTTTTTTCTTTCTGTGATACTGGGGTTTGAGCCCAAGGCCCTTATCCCCAGATTCTTGGCAGTTTTTGAATTGTAATTTAATTCACAGACTATACAATTAACCATTTTAAAGTGATTTTTTTTCTTTTCTTTTTTTCTTAGTGTATTTGTGATGTTGAGCAAGCATCACTGTGATCTAATTCCAGAATATTTCATTGTCCTCAAAAGTAATCCCATACCTGTTAGGAATCACTCCCTGCTCCCACTTCCCTCCAGCTCTTGGCAACCTCTAATCCACTTTCTGTCTCTAAGGATTTGTCTGTTCTGGACATTTCATTCAAATGGAATTATGCAATATGTAATCTTTGGTGACAGGCTTCCTTTACTTAGCAGAAGGCTTTCAGGGTTTAGCTGTCCATGTTGAAGCCTGTTTCAGGGCCTCATTCTTTTTTATGGCTGAATAATAATCCATTGTATGGATAGACCACATCATGTTTGTTCGTTAGCAGTTGATGGACATCTGTATTGTTTCTACTTTGGGGCCACTGTGAATAATGCTTTCACGTTTCAACTTGAACTTTCATGTTCAAGCTTCCATGAATATGTGTTTTTAGTTCTCTTGGGTATATATCTAGGAATAGAATTGTTGTATATTACTGGAGCTGAGGAAAGACAAAGATAGAATTCAGACTCAGGACTCTTATATTTCTTAAACCCTCTCTGACTCCTACAGTGATGCTCCTGCTTTCCATGCCCTATTCGGGGGCTTTTCTAAGACCCTTGCCTGTTTTCAGATCCTTTAAGAGTTTATTCACTCTAATGACAACCTCCCTGTCTGGCTAGGGTTTCTCATCCACATTTCCCACCTGATGGCAGAGGAAGAGTGTTGACCATGGTGCCTGACTGCTGGAGTTCAAATCCCACTTCTGCTGTCTTCCAGTGCAGTCTAACCCTGGTCTGTGTGCTGCAGGGCAAACCCAGACTCAAAGCCACACAGGATTGGGTTCGAATCCTGGCTTTGCCACTTATTTGGAAGTGACTGTAACCTTGAGCAAATCATACAAGTGCTTGATGCTCTGTTCATTTATAAAATGGTAACATTTATCCATACTTTCAGAGGTGTTTGTGGGAATGTAATGAGACAAGCAGGTAAAGTGCTCGGTAGGCTTATTAAATACAGAACATGTTATCATCATTACCATCACAACCACCGTGCTGGCGAAGCCTTTGGCTAGTTAAATCAGTATTTCTGCTGCCTCTTGAGAAGAGCTGTCTGTGTTGAGCTGCCTATTGCTTGTGGAAGGAGCAGCTGTGTTGCAAGCCATTGTCTGCAGGTGGTACTGTGTA